TCAAGAATTCCCAAAAATCTCCCGAAAATCGCCAGAGAAAGCTCTCAAAACCGTCTCCTTTGAAAGAACGGCGACATCCCCTTTTTTAATAACTGCTCACGTGCCTAACTCAAGGTCATGTGTTTTTAGCATGCCCATGCCTTTTGCCCATGTGTTTTTAGCATGGCCATATGTCTTGACCATGTGTTTTAAGCATGGCCCTTGCTTTTTGCTAAAAGTCCAATAAGTCTTCACTGTTGGCTCCTTCTTCAGTCTAGCTTCACCCTGAGTTATGTTGCTCAAATATAAGATGAGCATGGACAAACACGACTCGTGCCGGTGTGACACGAACCGTGTTTCAAATGTAGTCCTTTGCTATGATGATATGCAACGAATCGGGGCGTGTCTTCATGTTTTCTTCCATGACATGACAGGTCCATCTTCTCTTCATGCTCCAAATCTCCATGCTCCAAGTTCCATGTTTCAAGCTCCATGCTCCAAGTTCCAAGCTCCATAATGCCTAAAAAATAAATCAAAAATAGTGAAGTACCACACATTCTTAATAAAATATGCAATTGTCCAAACAATTAACTAAATGCAAGAATTATGAAGTAGAGTGCTATGAAAGGACGGAAATAAACATGCAAAATAGGTGCATAAAATGCACCTATCAAACCTCCTAAAGCTTAGACCTTTATTGTCCTCAAGAAACAACAAAATGAAGAATTACTTTAGAGAAGATGATAAGTGACTAAAAAAACTAAGATGAAAGGAACAGAAGGAATGAAAAGGACCTAAAGGGAATTAAGAGTGAATGCATGCAATAAAAGAAAAACTAATGAAAATAACATATGTACAAAAAGATTAACAAAGCTTCAAATATTTATTTATTTACTTATTTTCAAACATCAATGCAATAAACAAAACAAAACGAACGAGATTCAATCCAATTAACCTCATTGTGTCATACAGTCGACAGTTTACCTGTCGTGCCTTGAGATAACTTGGCATTAATCCCACAAAGATATATGACATTTAAAACAAGATTTTTAGCTACTCCCTAACACAACTCAACAAAATCAACAGTTACAACATTTGTTCACTTATACCGATATTGGGTTAGCAGATGGAACAAATTATGGTCTTACTCTCGTGAAAACATATGTGATGAAAAACAGTCTCACTCATCTTCATTTCACAAAGTGTGATAATAACCGACTCCGACTATTTGTTGACCAACAACAATCTTTTTCCAAAATATATTTTCTAAAAATTCCCTAATATTTATCCAGATTGGTTACATGTTTCAAACCACTTACACCAGTCAAAGTATTTTGAAAACAATTTGTAATCATTATTGGTTTTTGAATGTTTTAATTTTTTTTTATATTGGCATGATTTTTTATGGATGTTACAATGTAACATCCCAAAAATCAAGGTAAAATTTTCATTTTTAAACCATTCCAAAAACCATAAATGTTTACAAAACATAGATTCCAAATGTCATAATCACAAATCAGAGTATCCCAAAATCATAATCTCATAAAAATCCGAAGGATATGCATGATCAAGCCTTCGCCTTGCCCTGTCCTCTGAAGTACCTGAAACCATAACAATCAAACTGTAAGCCAAAGCTTAGTGAGTTCTCCTAAAGTACCACACACAATTATACAGATAACAAAATGTATATATGAGCATTCAGCTTGACTGGACCGCCTCGCAGGGCGTACGACCTATCTGGACCGCTCTCTAGGCTTTCGGCATGACTGGACCACCTTGCAAGCCTTTAGTTTATCTGGACCGCCCCGGGTATCTTGTCCTTCAGCATAAAGCATGACTGCCTCAATCCAACAACCATAACATATCGACATATATAATAACAATCAATAACCAAAAAGTACAGGTAATCATACAGTTCTACCGGTCTAACACATAATCAGTGAACACAGGTAATCATACATATATACCAATCTATCATATAACCAACATAACATCAATCCAATATACGAGGATACATAATTCAGTGGATCGGCATTGGTGCCTTCGACCCACAAGTACAGTGAGGAAAATTCACCTCACAGTCTGAAATGTAGCAGAACAAATCACTGCTCCAACCGCTGACTCTACCGGTCACCTATACAGCAAACAAGGACCTAATCTCAAACTACTGCTCAAAATACCCAAAATGACCCTAATTCAAACTTGGCCAAATTCTTGGTCAAATTCAAAGTCAAAAAGTCAAAGGGGTCAACATAGATTGAGTACGTCCAGCGTACTCGGTACGTCCATCGTAGTAGGTCCTTAGCCAAAATACGAGCCTTTTCTCAGTACGCGCAGCGTACCACCTGGTACGCCCAACGTACTCAACCTCATCCTACTTTTCCTCATTAAGTGCTTATTTCATTAAGATTTCACATCCAAAGCTTAGATCTAGTCCCAAATATCATTCTAAGTCATAAAGTTTCCAACTTTATGACTTTCCATGGCTAGAAGGAGTCCAAAAACCAAAAGCCTAACTTAATACACAAACCAAAACATCATAACTCTTGCATGGAGGGAAGAAAGGGACCAATATCACATTTTTATGGTTCCTAGCACTCAAAAATTTCTAAAAGGAAAACTCTTATGCTTTAGAGTAAGCCATACTCATGAATACCAAGATTATGGGACCAAAATGCATAAAAACTTAAGAACTAGCAAGATCCAAGGAAAACATTGATCAATTTCCAAGATTTATACCTTCAAGGGATGCTTGAGGGTGACATACTTTTGGATCTAGGTTGCCTTGAGCTTCCAAGATGATCTACCACCTTCTTCCTCCTTCACAAGCACAAGACCACACTCTTCTCAAGCTCAAAATCACACACCAAAGAACTAGGGTTTGCAAGGGACGTTTTTGGGAGATGGAGGTTTATAGAGGAAATGGTTTTGAGGGATAAAGATGCTTAAAAAGTGCTCAAACCCTAAAAATTAGGATTTTCTCACCTGCCAAGTACGCCCAATGTACTAACATGCACACACGACCCTTTTTAATGAGCTATGCCAAGCGTACGCCCCAAGTACGCTTGGCGTAAGGACCAATTTTGCAACAAATTTTCATACTTAGGGTCAAAAAGAAAATACCTGATGTATGGGTGTTACACAGCACATACTGATCTGTTACTTGTTACTAATTACCAGTTTATTAAAACAATTACAAATTTCAACAAGTGATTAACTAGATTTATTTAATCCTAAATTTTGTGATCAGGCTAAAAAGAACTAAAATCAAACATTCATTACGATCAAAACTGAAATATTTAGATAGCATCACAAACTAACGACCAGATCTAATGATTAATTACATAAAAAGTACTAATCTTTACAGAACTGAAATCTAGAGTTTAGCTATACAGACTAAAATCTGATCAAAACTAATGAAAAGAAAGATTAAACTACTAAATCTTACTAAACTAAATGATTGAGATGATCAATAACCTTTAGATCTTCAGAATCGATGTAAAAGTGCAAAAATTGCCCCCAAAAATCGTCTATAAAGGGTTTTTCTTCGTCTTGGAACGTCTAGGGTTTAAACTGGTCAGATAAGGAGACTTTATATACGAGTCAGCAACAAAAAATACGATTTTTGAAAAAATGTGATCGTGCTTTTGGAAAAACACGATCATGTTTTTCCGTCGAGGTCCCGAAAATTTTGTTTTTCGCGTTTAATGAAGTACGATGCTATTTTGGACACTTTTCTTAAAAACACGATCGTGTTTAGCAAAAACATGATCACATTTTGTCTTCGAGGTCCTGAAACTTGATTTTTTGGCCTAGAAAAGTTGCGAAGGTAAAACACGATTATATAGGAAAAAACACGATCGTGTTTTTCCTAAAGCGCGCGTTTCAGACGCGAACTCTTCAACTACAGTAAAACCCAGGTTCCAACTTCCTAAAGTATTTTAGCTCCATTAAGCTCCAAATATGCATCAAAGCTGCTTCCAAAGTACCACTTCATTCGAAATATCTTAAAACAACATAAAAACATGAACATTACGAGAATTTTAACGATAAACATGAACTGAACATTATTTAAACTAATGCATATAAAAAGCATAAAATATGATGCAAAATACTAATAAAAACTACTATAAAAAATGCATAAAATGACATCTATCAAATGATAAACAACTCATCATCCGCGATCACCATTTGGTAAGGAACTTCATTTGCTCCATGATTGAATCAAGACACTTCCAACTTAGTGAATCAAAACTTTATTGAAATCAACCTTGAAAATTAATGCCGATCGATTTGATTTTTTCAACCATGTACATACTTCATTTATCATAACAGGACCATCAAGAATGTTTCTATCAGCGATAAATGTTGATTGAACATCCTCAACAACATATCGAATCCACTTTTTCAGCCGATCGATTAGCAAGTACTTTTAACAATTACTTTGTAAATGCAGCCAATTAGGTTAATATGACGATAATCAACAAGAGAAAGAGGGCCATTGATCTTTGGAACGAGAGCCATAAATGATGAGTTGCAGCCACCGCTGATGGTATCTGTTTGGAAAAAATTGTCGAAAACTTTCACGAAATCGTGCTCCAAAAATGCTCCAGAAGGACATAATAAATATGAATGAGAAGCCAACTGGTCCTCAATGTCTCCTTGATTTCCGCTAGGTGAAAAGGTTCATCAAGAAATGAAGCCTCTTCCAAGGATAAAGTTTTTAGACCATTACAACTTAGAGTGGGTCTTGCTGGATCTGTTTCTGTGAACTTTTTACTGAAAAAATAAAAAAAAATTATTGTTTAATAAAACCGGGTCCAACGACCACACCCCATTATGCTCACATCGTAAAGTGGATCTACAACATACAAATTACTGTAGGTGTTTCATAATTTGATTCAAAAGCATGAAAGCTGGAGCTTGTCGTTCTCGATAATCGAAAAAGATAAAAAAATCCATAACATAAAAAATTCAATATTATACAAATAATTTCACAGAATAAATCTTTAAATTATGGTAAAAAAAAAAAAAGGGAAATTTTGATCTCATCTACATCTTGCCACCAACTAAACCCCACATCAAAACTCCAATCCCCGCAGAAATCAAAACCGATACTTTCACCGTCGACGACGACGATGAAGACTTCGCCCCCGGTCCCGACGGTATTCCGCCAAACACGGTGGGATAGGAAGGTGCAGAGTCGGCAAGTGCTCCGCCGGGAGCGGAAGAAGGCGGCAGTGGCAAAGACCCGTCAGCGGCAAACACCGAAATTTGAAGCTTCTGCGATTTTTCACAGTGGCCGGAAACACCACTGGTGAAGTAAAACACACCCGGTGAAGTAATATTGAATAACGAATTGCCATTGTTCATATACAAGATTGGATCTTTCAGATTGCAGGTGTCGTAAGATTCTTTCGTCACTTGAATCACTGAATCTTCACTTGGTGGATACAAGAACACTGTAACAAAACACAATGAACATAAAAAATCTGATATTTTCTCAAGAATCTTGAAGTTTTTGAAGAGATGAACTTACAGAGAGAGTCGCCGATCTTGAAGTTGAGTTTTTTGGGCCAATTTGTGTAAATTTTTGGATCTGTGGAAGTGGGTATGTTCCAAGCTTGAAGATTTCCAACTTGGAATTGATACGCGATAACATTTGATTGAATCAAAACGATGAACAGAATCGAAAATGATAACCGATGGCACATTTGCCTTCCAAGAACAGCCATTTCTCGTTGTTTCTTGGTTTTCTATTTAGTGAGAGAGTATAGGAGAGAATTTAGGGAGACGAGGAGAAAGATTTCTCGTGAATAAAAGGAGGATGAATGAAGTGAAATTACTGAATTGACCCTTGATCTTGTGTTCTGTTTTAAGCAATGGGGAATAAGGGTTTTGACTTTTGAGTAAGATGTGATTATGGTAGATCTAGTAAAATGTGGAGCTTGGAGCCAATAATTGTTTAAAAGAAAAACAAAAGAACGTGGGCCAGTTGGTCTACAGAAGACATAAAACTGGATGCAGATCATCATCATGGATAATGGAGGCAATGCAAATTTATGGAAAAAACATGTGCATGTGTGTCTGCTTTCTTTCCTATTAAACCACATTTTAAGATTCTTTTTTACTTTGACTTCAAACTTACTAAATTTTCTGTAGCTCTTTATCGAGTAATTTGTGTCGGTTTTAAGGTTGTGTTTACGTGTTAGAGAAATCAAACATCCTCTTATTTTTTGCTCTTGTCCATTTTTATACTCACTAAATCTAGACAATTATCAAAAAAGATGAGAAAAATAATTAATGTTTAATATGTTATTATTTTATATGAACATGAACAAAAGCTACCAGTATATTTAACTTCTCTATGGTTTATTACACATGACAGAGTAGAGAGAAAGAGATTTCTAGGGGTATTTTTGAATAATGGTGATGATGGAAAATACATGGATATTTAATTTCCATTATTAGTTCAATGCATACCAAACACTATTAGTTTAATGCATACCAAACACTGTACAGTTTACATGGATATTTGTTTTTATATTGATAACTCTTAAGTGTTACATGCAAAAAAATTTAATGTCTTTTAACCTTATTTGGAAGCATGCAAATTACAACAATTTCTTGTAATGGGTTATATGCAGAAAATAGCATGGACTTTCATTTATTTGTTTTTATAGTATCTTATTTTCAATTTTTTATTATTACAACATTGTATTTTGAAAATTTTATACAATTATAAAGCAATTTTCAACGATATAATTTATTTCTTCAAATGATGTTTTTATATGACAAAAATTGGAAGTACAAATGTTATAATTTGATAGCTTTTTTAAAGTACATTGTTGTCATAGAAAGAAAGAAATAAATAAAAGTATTTTGCTATTCTTCCATTTAGCCCTATATTATTTAAATCTCAAGTTACAGACCAGAAAACTAATTCGATAAGATGAAGAAAAATGCTAAACTTTTTTTTTTTCAACAAAGAAAAACAATGTTCATAACTACAAATTTCAAAAAAGTAGAAAAAAAGAAAACTACATTGCCTACATAATCTCCTACCTAACAACTATATCAACTCCTTTATTCTCAACAAGTTTCTAATTTTCCAATATTATTTCCAACCAAAAATACATTTCACACAAGAATATCATAAGTTGACTTTTTGACCTTTTACTATAATCTCATTTCATTTCTTTCATCTTGTTATCAAATGTTAAGTGGTTCGGACTCCAGTTCCCTCACTTTGTCTAGTGGCCCTGCATACAAAATGACCGATTTAGCCTTCCGAATAACTTTTTTTTTAATTTATAATTCAAAAAGGTATGATTTATGAGCAAAAGAAGAACATACATGATCTTTCTACAACTCCCAATAGGCGTCTTTGCAACATGGATGCAATGAAGAGGAAAACAGCACACATTCCAAACATTACGGATATTGGAAATGAATCAACCTTTAAAAAAAAAAGGAAAAAAAATTAGCATTTTAATATATATAATCTTAAATAAATGTTTCTGCTAAAAAAGTTTATTCTTCCAGCAACCCAGAGAGCATCCACAATAGGAAAGTTTTTTTTGTGTCACATCAGCACCAACTCAACAACCCTAAAACTTTTCCATATGTTTATATATTTCTAAACCTTACTAAATTTCTAACTTTTTCTTATTTATTATAAAAAGAAATATGTTTTATAAGTTTAGAATTACTTTTTATATCTATTTTACATTACGTTAAACAAGAAAACAATTTTTATATATAACTAATAAAAAAAAAGGGAAATCTCCGATAAAGTCAAAATATTTTGGGTCAGTTTACGGTTTAATCCCAACTTTTATTTTTTGAACAGAAAAGTCCCGATTATTTTATATTTTTCCCAAATTAACGAAACAGTCCTTATCTTTTTTCAACAAAAAAAGACAGATTATCGTATAAAATTAGATAATCAGGACTTTTTTGTTCAAAAAATAAATGTTGAGATTAAACCGTAAACTGACCCAAAATATTAGGACTTTATCTGAGATTTCCCAATTCCCTATAAAAAAGATAAAAGATTAAAAAACCAATGAAAAAAAGCCCAAATGTCAAAGAGCCCATTGCCCTCAAAAAACACAATTTTAATTTGTACTTGATAAAAAAAAACAAAATCAAGTACATAGTGGGCCCACTAAGTGGTTAGCATAAAAAAACTCAATCCACATTGGAACTGAAACTCTCATACTGTAGATATGGCAAATACTGCAAATACTGAGACTCAAACCCTCGTCTGTTGTGTGTGTGTGTGAGAGAGAGAGAGAGCTCACATTGTAAAGTACAATGCATACAAAGATATTAAGTGGAATCCTGAAAAAATTCATAATAGTGCTTCGAGCTTCTTCTGGAATATATTGTGACCTCATCTTCATAATCGAAGGCCAAAATAATCCAACACATGCTTCAAACACACAAAATCCAATCAATTGAATACATCCCGCAAATGAAATACTTCCACCTTTTTCACTCGAAGGAGCCACCAAAACCTTCATTTAAAAAAAAAAAAAAGTCAATCAAATTCATCATTTCCATATTCAAAATCACACAAAAAACTACTATTACATTTTATAAATGTGTCACCTACACTTGTTATAACAGGAAGCATAAGAGATGCAGAAGACACAATAAAAACAACTTGCATGTAACTTTCAACTTTAGTTGATGCACGTGCCATTAACCTTGAAGCAAATGAGCTTCCTAACATGGAAGACAACATGAAAGTTGCAAAAATGAATCCATGTGGAATGTCTTCATCATTTGGGCTCAAAGCAGGAGTCCATAAGAACACAAAAGTGTACATTGAACCTTCAAATAGCGATTGTATTGCTCCTAATAATGCAATCTTTTCATCTGATTTCAAAAGGAAACACAATTGAATTGATGTAGTAATCAAAGATGGAATGGAATCAGAAAAACAATATTTGAAATGGAATGTAATGCATCATTCCATTCCATTTAGAGAGAGAGAAAAGTTGACCAGATGCGATTGCAAGAGCAGCTCCTCTGAATTGAGTCAACAAGTCTTTGCTTTCTGAAGAATCTCCATAATTTTCAGTCCAAGAAGAAAGAATGATTGCCATTCCAATGGCAAGAAAGCATGAAGCTGCATCAAAAGGGGCAACAGGTCCTAAAGCTAAAGATCCAACTAAAAGATTCCCAAATAAACCAGCTAAAATGGCAACTAATCCATTTCCAAGAAATATTGCTTTGGAGAATGTTAGTGATAGCCATTGTTGCTCAAAACCCCTCTGCAACATAAACAAGAAAAGATTGTTTATGAGTTTGATGATAGTTTCAATGAGTTGATTATCAAAAAGACTCAAACACCTTATTGTGTTCAGCAACTAGCCATGACTCAAAAGCTGAAAAGAGGAGTGACGTGGCAATCCCTCCCAAAATACGTCCAATCATTAGGATTCTATACTGAGGTGAATGCTTGGTGATGCAGCTCAAAATGTAAGTGATACAGTAAGTAATCGAAGCCCTTTTTCTTCCACTAGATTAAATACAGAGAATTTGAGTTATTAATCACTATCGTAGTAGAGTAAAAGTTGAAAAGTTCAAAGAAAATGAAATGGGAAGTGGGAAGTGGGAAGTGGGAAATTACTGTTTATCAGCTAAAGATCCAACGATTGTTCCAAACAACATGGAAGATCCAAATCCAGCGATAAAGAGATGGCCGATATCCCGTTTCCCGAATCCGTATGTGGTGTAAAGATAGTAGACGTATGGCCCCTGCAACCAATCACCAGCTACACCCACATGAAATCAATTGTGATGTTAAACGAGAATTTTGAATATCGAGTTCAGAGATATACCCAATTACTCAATTAATTCCCTAATGTTATGGATCCAACGAAGAATTTTGATTATTTTACATTAGATCTTATGATAATGTCATCGAATGGTTACCGATTTTTAACAAGGATTTACAGAACCCCTTATAAACCCGGATCGAATTGATCCTCATTGATGTGAAATCGCACGTGGGTAACTCAAACTAAAGAACAATCGGTGACAAATGTAGATAGATTAAAGTGGATTGATGGAAACGAAGAGACGAATGTGAAATATAAGCGTACCCATCATTAGGGAATAGACGAGAAGGTAATTGTTCTTGAAGGAATTGAAAGCAGAAGAAGTGTTGGTTCGATCTTTGTTGTTTTTGCTGAGCTCCAATGTTGCAACGATAACACCAAGACCTCCGAAGACTAGCAAGTAAAAGAGCTCCATGATTCTTGATCTTGATCACAGTCTCTGCGCACAAAGACTGTGTGTGAAAGAGAGAACCACAAAGTACAGAGACACTGGAGCTTTAGCAGAGAAGAATCGAAGGTAAATCCGGTTGTAGTATGAACCAATTATAAAAATAAAAAATGGAAGCATAGACTAGAGAGTATTGACCCGGGTTCATGGTTTTGGCCTTTGGGATTAGCTATGCATTAAAATAATTTTTGAGTAAATTACATGGATAATGACTTAAAAGGGTAATGTATTTTTTGATTTGTACATATTTAGTCACTGAGTTTTTTTTTCGTCCATATGTATCCCTTCAACTTGTTAAACTGTACACATTCAGTCCTTATGACCTAGGTTAGCCGGAAAAAATGACTTAATAGGGTAATATATTTCTCATTTTGTACACATTTAGTCCTTAATATTTTTGTACATATTTAGTCCTTAATATTTTTTTATTTCAAAATAAGTCAATTTTGTTTTTGTACACATTCAGTACTTATGAATGTTTTCTTTAAGTTTTCTCATGACATATTACGTGAGACAGTCATTGATAAAGTGTGTGGGGTTGTTGATGTTTATGTGTAATGTCTCATTTTCACAACAAAATTTTTTTATTTTTAAATAAGGCAAAACTCCCTAATTATAAATCCATTATTAAGAAAAAACGTTTATTCCAAAATACATTTTATCGAAAATCAGAGTAATATAAGAAACGCGGAATCCTCAATATTGTTGATAAGTGTGTACAGTCATGCATTCTCCTTCCCACGACCAACGATAGAACCTGAAAACATAAACAACTGTGTAAGCACAAAGTTTAGTGAGTTTCCCCCAAAATACCCGATACAACACATGTATTATCATGCATAACGGACCTACACTCATCAAATTGGAATACTTTGGCCCAATCAGTCATCGAACTGGAACGCCAACATGCAACAGGTCCAATCAGTCATCGGACTGGAATACCTAAGGTTTGTTGGCATGCCGCCTTAACCCAACAACCCTTCTCGAGTCTCCATGCCTATAGCTTATAGCCGGCCCGCACCAGGTATCTTGGCCTACAACATATATCAGGACCACCTCAACCTATCCCACCACCATATGACAATCCCACATAAGATGTCGTGAGAAAAACCTAAAGAAATCATTTATAAGTAGTAAATGAATACAAAAACAAAAATGATTTAGTTTGCAACAAAAAGAAATATTAAGGACTAAATGTGTACAAAAATATTAATGACTAAGGTGATGTTTGATTTTCTAAAGCAAAAATTCATGAAGTCTGCGGACCACCTCTGCAACCCTCTACAGTAGAAGAGGTGGACCAAACGGCTGCAGAGTATAATAAGAAGCGTAATTGTTTTTTTAACATCTGCATACTGCTGCAGATATTAAAAAATTAAAATAAACTAATTTATAAACCGAAAATAGTAATTTTAATACGTAAAATTTAATAATGTATAACATTTCGGCAAGAATTAATGATATTTCAATAAAAATAATGATATTTCAACAAAAAATAAAGATATTTTAGTAAAAAATAATGATATTTCATTAAGAAATTATCATTATTGAATATAAAAAACGAAAAAAAAAATTTTAACAAGAATAAACAAAAAAAAAACGAAAAAAAATGTGAAATACAATTTCAACAACATATAATCAAAATTACTGCAAAAAAAAAAAAAGAAGAGGTTGGAAGAGGCAGTACAAGTGTTGCGCCAAACAGAGTACGCGTAGAGGTTTTTGACTGCGAAGACTTCTAAAAAACAAACAGCTGCGAGATGAAAAGTGATGCGCGTGTGCTGCGTCGCGCAGCAATAAGAGGTTTGAAGAGGTTTTTTCCAAAAAAAACAAACAACACCTAAATGTGTACAAAGTGAAAAATATATTACCCTATTAAGTCATTTTTACCGGCTAACCTGGAGTAGCCGGTCATAATGACTAAATGTGTACCGTTTAACAAGTTGAAGGGGTAAATGTGGACGAAAAAAAACTCAGTGACTAAATGTGTACAAATCGAAAAATATATTACCCTTTTAACTCATTATCCCTAAATTATACAACACGAATCCAATAAAAAATAACTATTTTAGTTAGAGCTACTTTACACGCTATGGTATGAGGCCAATCTAACTAGGTCAAATTTATATTGTTTGATACCACAATTAAAATTTGATTTATTTGATCTGTCTTTTTATTAAGTCTGATAAAAGTTATGTGTGACACAATTAGATTTGATTCGGATCAACAACTATCAAACAACCTCTTATTTGATCTTTGTTAGGTTTGATAAAAAGTTATGTCCGACTCAATTGGATTTGATTCAAATCAACAACTATCAGACATCTTCTTAACTAATCAAATCCCAAACAAAAATATTAATTCCTAATATTCTAATAATATATGAAGTAAATTAAAGTATTACATCGATTAAATACCATAAAATAACATACGATGCTTTAGATTTATCCTAAAGGTCACCATTCTTCCAAAACCAAGTAAATAATTTTACGAACAAATTACAAAATTATGTAAGAGAGATATTATTTTATTGGGCAAGTGTCGTAAAATAACAATTTGTTCTTTGGATCATTTATTTTTTAATTGTACTTAATAAAACAATAAACTTTTTTTCCAAAACCAAATAAAAATAATTTTAACAATACTTTTACAAAATTATTTAAGAATTGGTATTTTTTATAGGGTTAATATCATAAAATGAAAACCACCATTCCGCTAGTATTTAATATGTTCTTTGGATCACTTATCTTTTAATTATATTTATTTGGCCAATAATTATTTATTTTTATTTTTTTTGAATTCTCATTTATACCACTAGAGTGGATTTCAACAATATAATTCTACCATATTAGATGCCAACACCAGATACAAATAAGTGCAAATAAGTGAAAACATTCTGCCATATTGAATGTCACAGCATATCACTAAGATTCAAAACTAGTTTACACGGTTGAAATCTGCCTCAATGGTGTAATAAGAACCCATAAAATTGTTTATTTGTCTATTTAGTAGAATTTTAAAAAAAGGGGCAACTCAAAGAGTATTACTGATTGTCATTTGATGATATTAACCCTACTTTATATCAAGTGTATACCCAGTTATTAACATTAAATCGGGTATTTAATCTCCGATAGTGCAATTCAGATTGTATGATTACATGCATAACCTATACCCAATGAAAACAATATGAAGAAGCATAATTATAAAATATTTTGTAAGGTAATGTATTAGTATTACAATGCGGATTAAGAGGTCAAAATCCATAATAAAAAACAAAAACAAAGAGCAAATAAGCAAAAAGGAGGAAGTAATAGTAAATAGTAAATAGTAATAGTATACCTAATCTTATCTTATCTTCCTTGATCTATAATGACATAACAATAATAATATACAAAAATCTTACATCTATTATAACAAGTCATTTTCCACACTCTCAAAAAAAGGTTAAACAGATTACACACAATAATCAATCACTTTATCCCGTAATTATGCCCGCTAAAACATCCGTCTTACCTCTTGCAAAAATCGTGTAAACTAGCCGAATAGCATCAAGCCACGTGTCCAAATATTCCCATGAGTCCGCAATCTGAAAAGTATCAATACAATTAAATAATTTTCACAAATAATAATATTTTAAGTTATGTTTAAATGCAATAAATACCAAGAAAATTTGTCCATGAATTGTATCAATGCAAATGGAAGGGCCAGGTGGCAAAGTCAAATCCGCACATGGTGATACCGACACAATATCCGGAATTTCCACTTTAACAGTTGCTCTCTCTCCATTTTGAATCTGTTCACAAATTTAATAAAATACAATATAGTTTTTATTTAAAAATAAATAATTATATTAAAATAATAATAATAATAATAAGGGAACCTGTTGGAGGCCTTCATGGTTCAAAACAAATTGGGTGCGTTTCCAGTCGCCATGTGGCGCGATGGGATTGCCCGGTGGTGGTGCAGTAAGATACCCGACTTTTAAATAAGGTAGAGGCAGCTATAAAAATATATAAAGTAAATTATTTTTTATACAAATTATGATATTGATATTAAAAAAAAAATGATGTATAATGTAAAAAGTATACGCACCATGGACCGGACAAGCTTCAAGGCACTAGTGTAAACCTGGGATTAATTTTACATAATAAACAAACTTAAAAAATGCAAAATTAATTTTATATAATTTTTATAAAAAAAAATACTTACGGAATAATTTGGCTTCAATGCATGAGCAGCTGCAATGTAAATAGCAGATTGACTGTATAATTCATTGGGGGACACATCTTGTCCTCCGGTTCTTGATGTGTCTTCTGCTAATCCATACTACAAAGACAAAATTAATAAAAGTAAGTTCAAATTTATAAAAGTTACACGAATTTATTTAAATTTGGGAGAAAAGAGAATTTATTAAACTGACCAGAACAGTGCCTAAGTTGTAAATGGCCCTATGGAAGTCGAATTGCAACTGTATAGCTGCACGAAACTGCATTATTAACAAAATAAATGTTGTTAATAAGAAATAAACATGTTAATTATTGAGGATCGGAAACACAGTGTGTTAGGTAGTAGTAGTTAGTGTCTAGGCCTTAACATCATTTGCACAGACAAAAGATAGAGAGTTAGTCTACTCTTTATCCCACCCCATTGACATCATTCCCCGTCTAGAGTGTATGTCAAAAGTAGTACAATCTATCATGTCTTGTGTAACAAATAGGGTTTTAGTGTATACCTTTTCTTATCGCCTCTGCTGTAAATCCCAATGTTATTATAGTTGATAGGGTTTGCAATTTGAACCTTAGCTTTGAAGACTTTGTCAATATTTCCTCTACGTAATGATTGGATTAATAAGCTGATAATATGCTAGATATCTATTGTCAAATTTTGAGGAAGATTGAAAGAAAAAAAAAAAAAAAAAAAAAAAACTCACAATCTCCCCAGCAAACTTTTGACCATCAACGTAGATCTGTTTGGAAAACGACTTATGTAGAACATAGAGGATCTTACCTCGTCCAATCACGTTGTCAGTCGAGAATCCACTTGTAACACTTTGAATCATTTGAAAACTGAAGTATTTTACAACATTCGTTATCATCAAAAGCGCTACACGCTCCTCCTACAAGGGATTGACAAACACAGTTGTGTACTCCGACGAAGTACGCATTTCACTGATAGTCACCAAAGACGACAAATTATCTCTATCATTCTCAAAAAGCGACAAACAATCTGTATCACGGGTCTACGAAAGCGAGCACTATTTACCATTATCACTACTGCCGCCGGAGCACTGTCGGCGGCCAACAACGATCCTGCAAATCGTAACTCGATTCAACAAATCAACAAATAAAATATCAAATTAAGAAATATACCGAAAAATTACTCGCAACAAGGTACAATATGACAAAATGGGTAGTGGGCACCATGAATAGTTACGACGAAAGCGATTATTGTTCTAACGGAGTTAAACTATTAATTGATAATTTAACTCCGTCAGAACATGAATCACTTTCTTTGTAACCATTCATGGCACCCACCACCCATTTGATCGCATTGTACCTTGTTGCGAGAAATTTCTCGGTGTGTTTCTTAATTCGATATTTTATTTGTTGATTTGTTGAATCGAGTTACGATTTGCAGGATCGTTGTTGGCCGCCGACACTACTCCGACGGCAGTAGTGATAATGGTAAGTAGTGTCGCTTTCAGAGGATACAGATTGTTTGTCGTTTTTGGAGAACAATACAGATAATTTGTCGTCTTTGGTGACCGTTCGTGAAATACATAGTTGGTCAGAGTTTACGATTGCGTGTGTGTGTCCGTTGTGGGAGGAACGTGTAGCGCTTGTGATGATGGTGAATGTTGTAAACTACTTTAATTTCCAAATGATTCAAAGTGTTACAAGCAGATTCTCGACTGATAATATGATTGGACGCGGTAGATCATCTGTGTTCTACATAAGTTGTTTTCCAAACGGATCTATGGTGGCGGTCAAAAGTTTGTTGAGGAAATGATGAGTTTTTCTTATCTTTTTTTCTGAAAATTTGACAAGAGATGTCTATATTATCAACTTGTTAATCCAATCATTACGTAGGGGAGGGGTCAAAAAAGTCTTCAAAGTTGAGGTTAAAATGGTAAACCCCTTCAACCATAAGAACATCGTCAGACTGATTGGGATTTGCAGCAGACGTAATGAGGAAAGGTTCGCACTAAAACCCAAACCCAAGTTACAGGACATGATAGATTGTACTACTTTTGACATGAACTCTAGACAGGAAATGATGTCAATGGAGTAGGACAGAGACTAGAGAGCTGTTAGATATAGTATCATTCATAATTAACATGTATTCCTTTAGTATAGATGTTGACTTTTTTTTTTATAAAAATGTGACAAAATGGTGATTTTTTTGTACCTTGCTGATTGCACTTTTTACTATTGTTTGTTTCTCACGTGCGGGAACAATTGCACTTAGTTCCTGCAATTTCAAATTATGATATTAATCAACAAAAATTAATATTATGTGTTAATAAAAATATCAGGTGTCTATAAAGTTGAAAAAGCTTTGGAAATGAATGTATTTTTGAAGCACCTGTAATGCAAGACCCCAGTTGTTGAGAGCCTGAAACGAATTTTGTCACGAAGTTATAAATTATAATAAATGAATAAGAAATTGTTTAAAAATATAGATAAATTAGACAATGATGAGTAAAGGGGTGAAACTCTGGAATGGAATCTGTCAAAAGAATTGAAATATGATGGAATTATAACTTGTCAAATGGAATGGAATTCAATAATAAAGATTAAATGCTTTTAAGTTTTTCAATTTAAAGAATTCCATCCATTTGGCAACCAAATACACTATGGAATGGAATCACTAATTCCAATTCCATTGAATCCACAAACCAAAGATTTCTCAAAGTTACCTGGGGACTGTTCCAGTTTAGTTGAACAGCTTTTTCATAATTATTTGTTGCCTGAAATATCAAGAAAAAAAAAAAGACACCTTTCTTAGCATTTCACAATCTTTATATAAATGTATAAAAGGGCAGAAAAGTCATTAATATGATTTAAAGATCTAAACCTGCTTCCATAGTTCTTCAGCTTCCTTTGTACGCCCACGCATTTTGGCCCGATCAGATATGGCAATAGCCCAGTTATAATAAGCCTGAAATTAGAAACAGATTTTTATCATATAATCATACAAATTAACCATTCAATGCAACTTGATTAAAATACAGGGACTGAAAATGCATACATCGTGAAGTGTAGGGTTTAAACGGGTAGCTTCATCATACTTTCTGCAAGCCTCTTCAAGTAAAGCATCTTTGGATGGTGAACTTGCATCTGAGTTTACATTATCTGCACTTTCCTGAAAAAAAAATGAAACCAAAAGATAAAAAAAAAAAAAAAAGTGAAATTGTTTCATATATTGCATCAAGAATTATATAAAAAAAAAAAGGCAAGTTATACCTGAAGAACTAATGCCCAATTATAAAGTGCATCATAATCATCTGGGTTTCTTTCTATTGCACTTGCATACCTAAAAAAGAACAAGAAACAAACAAGTTAAGTGTGGGTTTATGAATCTTTTTTTATTTCTTTTATTCCATTATTTTCTAGGATTCATCAAAATGTTTATACTTTTTTTTGCAATTGAAGTTCATACTAAAAGAGCTAATGTTATGATATATGGAGATCAAAAATGCAGATTGAAAAGATTGAATAGAAATATGCCAAGGGTAGAAATGTAAATGTACAAGGATACAGTTATAAAAAAAAGGTGACCTTTTTGCTGCAAATGTAAGAATCCGTTGTCTTGATCGACCTTCCTCATCAGAACCTGTGATACTATTGATCAAGTCCATGGCAGCACTATTCTTTTCTGTATGTTGTTTTGTGCTTTCTTGACTGAAAAATTCAAACATGTGAATTTCAAAGTGTGAGGATGGTTGTTACAAAGAAGAGGGGATTGAGAAGTCTTTTAAATCTTGAATTCCAAAGTGTGAGTTCAATGTCCATGCTAAATCTTCAAAGCAACTTATGGGATTTAAAGATCATGTAAGAGTGCATATCATCCCCTTTGCTCACACGAATCATTCTTTTTTAAGTTATCATTGTCAACTAAGCTCTGTGCTTTTATCACATGTGGTGCACCTATCAACACTATTCATATTACTAAATACTTTTGCCTTCATTGATAACCTAAATCCCATATGAATTGAGTAAGGGGAGGTAAAAAGAGACAAATAAGAAGGGGTGAATAGTTCTATTATTAGGCGAAATCAAGTTCAAACTAAATTTGAAGATCCTAATGATTTAGAACAGTGTAAAGGGACAGATTGAAAGAACCATTCATATTTGAAATTAGCTTGGCACCAAGTTCTGGTAGTCCATTAATTGCAACACCATACTTTAAGCTCCTAAAACTATGCACTGTATGCAAATCAATCAATATGCACATCATACCTTACACCAACTGAAATAGAAGCAACTCGTTACAGTCTATGAAAAATTAGGTGATTTACTGTTGAATTGCTTTAGTAACATTCATTGTAGTCTCAGCCTAACAACAATTGTCAAAAAGAAAATTCATATCTGGTGAAAAGTCTAACCTATGACGAGGTGCAGCAGCAGGAGTTGCGGCGACTTCAGACACTTCAGACACTTCATCGCCATTCTTCAATTCATTCAACAATTCTCTCATAGTGAAAGTTCGGCTCCCCTCTTCTTTCGGTAGCTCCGCATTGTCCTTTGATTCGATCGTCCGCTCTTTATCGGATTCTTCTTCTGCTCCTCCTTGGGGTTTCGGATCTACTCCCCCTGGAGCAATATCATTATCACTGGATTGGATCGGTTGATTAAGCTTCGAAGAATCACCCTCATCGTTATCAGTTGGGTGGATCGCGGTGTCTTCGGGTCGATGGAGTTCGGAATCTGGTTGAGGCTTGGCATCGCCGTTCTGTAATTCGGAGCTCTGATCGTTTGTAGACATTGTTGAATTGATTGAGATCTACTGAAGCTGAATTAGTAAATTGAAAAATTGCTGCAGTTGGAGTTGTGAGGAAGCCACCAAAACTTGAAAGGACTTCCTCCACTTCTAAGTTTATACTTCTCGAAGCAAAATACTTTTAAGGATGCATTTGGAAACGGGGATGGAGACTGTATCAGATCCGGGTCCTAGGAGCCACCCGTGAATTGGGAGTTACCGAGTACGGGTGAGCGTGCGGTTTGGTGCGGTTTTAAGGCCAAACCAAACCGCAAATCGTATGGTGCGGTTTTTTCATTCTTAAAACCGTTGGGTGCGGTTTTGCAACGGTTCGGTTTTACGGTTTTTAAATGCGGTTTCGGTTTGTATTGGTGCGGTTTCGGTTTTAAATCGTGTCTAGACTTTGGTGCAGTTTTTTATGTTTATTGGAACAGTTTTCTAAAAACGTAAGAACTGAAAACCATGTGCATGTAAGCTTGTATTGTGATTTTTTTTTTCATTTTTGAAACCATTCATTTCCAGCCTAAAACAAAAATACATAATCAAAAATTATAAGTAGCTTAAAATAATTAATAATCGAAGGTTGGTTGAATATGACTTAATTTGTTACAAGCTTATTACACATGTCGATTAATATGTTTGGCTAACAATAGAAATTTTTTTTGCACCCCATATAGTCTTACACAAACACAAAGTAAACATATAAAAGTATATTATCATTTATAAGTATTTTACATTATAATATATTAATTGATTTATTACTATACACGCTTGCGGTGCGGTTCGGTTTTGGTGGACCGGTTTTTTGGATAAAAACCGCACCGCACCGTTGACTTTCGGTTTTTGCAAAAATTAAATCCGCACCAATGGTTTTTGCATCGGTTTCGGTTTTTCGGTTGCAGTTTTGTCGGTTTTTCTTTTGTCGGATCGGTTTTTGCTCACCCCTACCTTGGAGTCGGGAGGCAGTAGCGTAGTACTAGTATGAGCTCCAAACCCGGAACCAGATCGGTTAGAACGGGTAAAAGTTAAAATGGGTCGGATATCATATATTAATATAAGCCTAAAATGGGTATCGGACATAGTAAGTCCGGGTAAAATGGGTTAAAAACCAGATCCAGAAAAACTTAAAAGTTAGAAAAAACTTTCAACTTTGATACCTTAACTAGATAGTAACTCATTCAATATAAAACCAAAAATGATGAAACTATAGTCTAAAATTGAAGTGCAAACTATAATTACATGTTGCAAAAGATCTCATATCAACCCGACTTCAAATGAATGAGTTATACAATTTTTAAAAAGTTTTACAGATTTCACATTACCTGAATTTTTCCGGTTCTAAACTCATTTTACCCGAAACCGAATAGAACCGGTTCTTATATACCAATTTGGTTTCTGATTCTACTAAATCCTGTTTTTTGGTGTCTTAGTTTCTGGTTCATAGTCCATTTGGGTCGGGTTTGGACCCGGTTTCAACCATACTAGTAATAATAGTTTGGCTATAAAAATTAATTATCTTTCTAAATAAGTTGGTTTTGTTAATTTATTTAAAAATGTTTATAATTTCTTTTAATGTAGTATTGTATGGTGAAAAATAAAGTAATCTTTTTTATCACAGTATAAACTCAAAAAAATATGTATCATAGCCTAAGTTGGTCAACGACACACATACCAATTAACCTTTTACCTGTATCATTTTAGGTCATTTTACGTGCATAAACTATAGAAAACGAAATAGGGTTCAACTGGAACAATTGATTCCAGGTTCTATCTTCTCATTCAATAGATAAAAGAGTATTTATACATCAATAGATCCACATAGATAGGAAAACAAATTATAATCCTATCAGGAAACTAGGAATAAAAGAAGGGTAAAATAAACATAAGAGAATATAAGATAATCTCGATTATTTTCTTCACTCCCCCTGAAGATGGAACGTGAAGATCGCGAACGCCCATCTTGCCTAGCAGAGAACAAAATCTGTCGGACCCAAGAGGTTTAGTAAAAAGGTATGTTAGTTGATCTTTAGTGTGGATAGCAGCTGGAAATACTTCTTTGGACTTGTTGAGAGAAAAACTTTTGAGAAACACTCGAATAAACGTTAGTACAAGCTATATATTGCGGAATTAAGTTAATCTCAAAGGATCATAAAGCTCAACAATAATAAGAAGTTAGGATTGTTAGAGATGTTAGTTGCGAAAATGTAAGTGCGAAAGGTAAAGGAAATGTAAATGACAACAAGATATATATCAAGTAAACACTAAGCTGATTCTTAACAAGGTTTGCGTTCAAACCGAGTTAGTATATGTGATCAGCTTAAAGTGAATGAAGTCACAAGGACTTGCTCCGAAGAAGAGTTTGAGAGTTTGATTTTAATATACGAGTGTAAGTTCATAAAGATCTTTGAAGGTAAGAGAGAATATAGAGAGAGTAATTCAGATAGAGAATAGTGATGTAATAGAGAGGTGTAATTCATTCAAACGACGAGAACTCTATTTATAGAGTCTCGAGAAATTACATGGAGAATAAACAAAGACTAAAGTTCTGATAAAGTGTCCATGCAAGGTACACTGGGTAATACAAAGTAAACATAAAAGTTAAGAAACAGAAAAACTAAGTCTTTGTTGCGGATGGAGACACTGCAGATAACTTGATGTTGCGGTAGCAAAAGATAACTTCGGATAACAAGTTTAAGAGGGTCACTTTCTTGATTCAACAGGACTCAACTCGCTCACGAACGAAATAGCAATCCATCTCAATATGTTTAGTGTGTTCGTGAAAGACCGGGTTATTAGCAATATGTCATGTAGCTTGGTTATCATAGTAAAGTCGAGTAGCACCTGTCTGAGTAGCTTCAAGGTCCTTTAACAACCAACAAACCATAAATTTTCACTCACTGTAGTGGACATGGATCAATACTCAGCTTCAGTAGAAGACCGAGACACCACAAATTGCTTCTTTGTCTTCCAAGAGATAGGAGTACCTCCAAGAGTAATAAAATAACTAGTTTTTGAACGTCGCGTGAAAGGGAAACCAAGCCAATCGGAATCACAATCTGCAACCAACGCTAAATCACCATTGGCTGGGAGAAAAATGCCTTGACCTTGCGTGGCTTTGAGGTATCCCAACACACAGAGAGTTGTGTTCCAATGAGTTTCCCGAGGAGTCGAAACAAATTAGTTGAGCGTATTGACTGCAAATGTGATGTCAGGTCGGGTGACTTGCAGGTATAGAAGACGGCCAATAAGCTGCATGTACTTCCCAACATCAGTTAAGGGGGAATCGTCTTCAACAGTAAGATGAATATTTTGTTCCGTAGGAAAAGAACTTGGTTTGCATCCTTCCATACTGTTATCAGCTAGTATGCAAGAGTATACTTCCTTTGGCTAAGAACCATTCCATACTGTGTTCGAGCCACTTCAATTCCAAGAAAATATTTCATTGTTCCCAAGTCTTTAATATTGAACTTGCTGCCGAGAAAGGCTTTAATTTTAGCAATGTGACGATCATTATTCCCCAAAAGAATAACATCGTCAACATAGATAAGAGTTGAAATAAAAATATTCTTTTGTTTGAATATAAAAAGTGAGTGATCAGCCTTAGAATGCTTGAAACCGATTTGGAGAAGAGATTCAGTGAACTTATTGTACCAATTTCATGAGGCTTGTCGTAAACCATACAATGATTTTCGCAGACGAAAAACTCGAGTATCCCCTTCCTTTGCAAAACCTTATGGAAGCTTCATATACACTTCACTTAAATCTCCATGTAAAAAAGGCGTTATTTACATCGAGTTGGTGAATCATCCATCGTTTCTGAACATCAACTGCTAATATGGTTCTCACCGTCACTAGTTTAGCAACCGGTGCAAACGTCTCATGGAAGTTAACACCTTCAATTTAGACGAAACCCTTTGCAACTAGTCCTTCTTTGTAGCGCTCTACTTCACCAGTCGGTTTATATTTGATTTTGTAAACCCACTTTAATTCGATAGCTTTCTTTCCAGGTGACAAATTTGTCAATGTCCACATGTTATTTTCAAGAGCTTGAATCGCCTTTTTCATAACATCCTTACAATGTTGACTTTTAACTACTTGATAAAAAGTGTTTGGGCTCTTCTTGAAAAGAAATGGCACTCAAGTAAGCTTTGTGGGAGTTGGTAAAGTTTTTTATAAGACACAAAGTGAGATAAAGGGTGTACCGTTGAGGAAGTTGTGTTGACATGGGAGTGAGAATGGTTAATGGAAGGTGGCAAATCGACTTCAAATTCTTGTAGACGTGCAGGCTTGGTTCAAGTTCGTTCAGGACGAGTGCCTTGGGCTAGATGAAAAGTTGGTTCGGCATCAGAATGATTTGTTTGGGCTGATTCGAACCCACCAGTAGAACACGTCCTGTTTGGGTTGCATAGTTGTTGTTGTTTAGACTATCATTCACGTGCATCTGGCTGGATAATTAGCGGGGTAAATGTAGTATATGGCGAATCTGGATCAGAATAAGGGTTCTTGGCTTTGTCTTTCCCACTCCCTTCGATTTCATTTGTTGATCCAACCATGGAGGCTTCTGGTTTGTGATTTCAACAGATCAGAGGAACCGCTCTGATATCATATAGAAAACAAAATAAGGTTCAACTGGAACAATTGATTCCAGGTTCTATCTCCGCATTCAATTAATAAAAGAGTATTTATACATCAATAGATCCAAACGGATAGATAGGAAAACAAATTATAATCCTACCAGGAAACTAGGAATAAAGAAGGATAAGATAAACATAAGAGAAGATAAGATAATCTCGATTATTTTCTTCATAAACAAAATTTGTCAAACACTAAAAACAAGTTATCAATTTATATAATTTTGATACCAATAAGCTTTTTCTCGAATGCAAAATTTTATTAAAATTAGCAAGATACAATAAATAAAACATTACAAAGAAAGAATAAAAAATGTGAGATTTTGTTACCAACCAACCAAATTTAGTTTTAAGTTATGATTTCTATGCAAAATCCAAAAGATGATTGAGAAAAAATTTGGTTAAAACAACCATATTTCTTTGGCTTTTTGCAGGTTGAAAATCAAAGCATTACAAAATCTCCATATCATCTAAATTGTAATAAGAATCGTTAGATACAAACAATCTATTTGGTGC